ACAATAGAAAATGAAGGAAAGAGAAATTTAAGCTAGTAAGCACCAGGAATTCTTATGCAGTATTCAGTCCATTAACCAATTTGGATGGATGTATTGTTTAAAAAAAAAAAAAAACACAAGAAACTAGTTGCTTTAAAGCTAGACCTATATCAGGGATCATGACTATATGATATATGTAACTTCTGTTGCCCTCCTGAAGTTTCAACCAAATTAATAAGGTAGCTTCATCATGGAACAATAGCTGCACAAACCCATGCACCAAAATGGCATACATCACAGACTGCTCTGCTTGGACTTCCATATGCAAGGTTATCTGATAGAGTGTCYGGGTCTTACTCTTGTGCCATTTTCTCTTTTCATTTCCTCTCCTATCCTTGAGTTTTTTTGTCTGGACTTATACATCGAGTTTACCCACATGGATTGAATAATTTATTAAGAAAATAATCAATTATGAAATTATATTATGGTTGTGTATGTGAAGTATCAAAAATAACCAAAGCAATTAACAAGATAAACCACAAACTCCGTACTTTGACTGCAAAGCCACTTAAAATAAACAGTTTAATAACTTCAATCATCAGAATCATAAAGCAAAGAAAGACAGAGTCATAATAGGTCGGGAGACATAATATATATTAATACCCCAACTTCTTTCCCTCCAAGTTCTTAATAAATCCTTATTCTCCATGAACATATAAAAATAACAATTCAAGGAAATGATAAATGAATAGTAATCAATACCCAGTTACCCACAAACAAAAAGAAGATTTTCCGCTGTCAACTGAACATTGGTCGATCCGTCCACGCCCCAGAAACATGGCCATTTTCACAAACATATGCTCGAAYAACCGGCTCGCCGTCGTCATGGTACCCAAACACCCCCCTCAAACAGAAAGCCGAATGCAGATCCCACGTCTCCTTACAAGCGCAAAACGCGCAGTCTAATGGAATCCTGCTCCGTTTCCCATCGTTAATGGTCCTCCAAACCCTAGACCGCTTGAAATTCTTGAAGATACCTCTGAAAAGCATGTAGTTACGTTTCTCTTCAGTGTGGACACAACCCGGCCAATCACATATATAGAGACAATCCTTTCTGAACCGACTCGCCAGTAGCTTATTCCCTTGCTCTCGACTCAAATTCCAAACCCCGGTAGCTAAATGAGACCCAACTGAACTGTATTTTTCCGTCTTCTCGCTGATGRAGAAATCAGAACCAACCTTGACCAGAACATTATCGGACTCGTCCATGAACGCAGGTCCGTCGTTTGATTCGGATGCATCATAGATGGTATCAAAGTAGAGATCATCGAAGAGTGACCAAGAATCATCAGAATGGAGAGAAGCGCCTACGGAAGGATCACCAAGGCTGCTCGAAGGAGGAGTTGGCGATACGTCAGGAACGCGGGCCGGACCAGCTTTTTGATAATTCTCATCGGGGCCCAGCTCTCGCTCGAGACCGAAGTCCGAATTCTCCAAGAGAACACCGGCATGGAGGAGCCCCGGGCAGCAGACGGACAGCTTATGGAGAGCTGCCCATCCGCCTGGGGGATCAGACGAGACGACCGGGGCAGAGAGGAGGTCTGCGACCACGGAAGGGATGGTTTCAGTGCATTTGTTCTTACAACAGACGTTGCGAACCAGAGCGGTGAATTTGGTACAGACGCAGGCGAGTCTTGCCCAGTTTCGAGGGTCGTCTTGGAGCTTGAAAAAGATGTTGAGGATAACATCGTCGGAGAGACTCCAGAAGGTGGTTTGAGTCATCGAGGAAGAGAAAAGATCTGATCATTAATTCTGGAATTCTTTTTCTTTCCCTCAGTGATGATGGTTTCTTTTTTTTTTCTCTCTAATTTTTCTTTGATCCGAGTTCTTTTGCTTTGTTTTGTGTAGACTGTAGAGAGCACAGAGTGTAGAGTTTCTTCTCCTGTGCTTTTTAGTTTGAGACSAAGCGGGGGGGGGAAGGTGGCAGGTTTGTCGAGTTCACCACAGTTTGTGGTGTAGAGTTCACCTAATATGCTATTATCCTTATTATTCCATTCCGAAGATTGTGGTTGTGGTTCTCGTGGGAAACGCGTATCCTGTGGACCCTTCGGATTAGCGTCTAGCCTCCAACCAGAGGGAAGCACGTCGCCCCTTCGGCTTCAACAACTGCTTAACGTGTGAACACCGTTAACGGTCGTTCGAACTCCCCTCCCATGTTGTCAGCTCTCTCGTCCAAACCCTAGCCCTAGCCAGTGACCAGACCACCGGCCAAACCCCTGCGCAACCGGCGTCCGGCGGTGTCCT